TTTTACAACCGGCACAAGGATAGAAACCTCCCAATGTTCCATTACAATCATGGAGACGTGAACCTACCATGGTAAAACTAAAAGGGTTTCGTAGGCGGTCCCTTAGTTCTTTTTATAAATCTCTCTGAGGGGACACAAGTTGTCGACGCAGCATGCCGTTTGGATCGCTAATCATTGTACGCTGTTTTGTAGAGAAACCGAAAGAACTCATGATAGGGAAAATTGCTACATCAGCGAACTGTGTCCAGATAGAGGTAGTGAAATAGTGAACTACGCTTTACCTCAAAAGTGTCATTTCATGAATTATCAATGATGATACTGTCTCAGTCTCTTAACGCTGAAGGCATCGCATTTGAAATAGGTATGGAAGGTTGAAATGCCAATATATTGCTTAATATATAACCTAGGTCAAGCCACATTTTTCGGAAAGAGGTTGGATTAATTATTTTTGGAAAAGGACTTAGCAAATCGACCCATTATTTTAACATATTCAAATAAGATTTGCTTCGACTTGTTAGACAGTGCGTTTTAATATTATGAGTTATTCCTTCTTTTGTGTGGCACCCTTCGAGGTTTAAAACTGACCTACAACACGCGATAAGTCAGGACGGATGAATTTTGCGTCATTTATTTTAAAATCCCAATTAATTTCGTACAATTCCAATTGTTTTATTTTCAAAGTGCTCTTTTACGGAAAGTCCCTTTCGTACAAAATCCCGTTGAGAAAATTGTAAACGACGTGTTGGTTTTTATGGGCTTATACTTACTCAACTGCTTCATGTACAGTTTGTTGACGTAAAAGTCCAGGCGGCAGGAAATCCCTTTTTTTACTAATGGCACTAGGCGTCATCATAAGTGTCTGAGTTTTGTAGATGAACGAGTCCAAAGATCAAAAGCAGGTTATTATCCTACAACGACCCATTGCGGGAAAATTTGAATATCTTGTGGGACAGGTAACGAGATGTGCTGTAGTAAAATCATGCAACTAACCCCGATCCTTCACTTTTTACGCTGTTCTAGTAGGGAAACGTCCATTGTCGACCCCCTTCTTGTTTATTTGTGTGGCTGCTTCCCCATGTCGTACCCAGTAGGCGTAGCGTGGGTGTGACTCTGTCTTCCCATCGCTGATTGTGTAATATCGATTGAGATTTATGTCACAGTCTTTCAAATTTGCGCCGGGCAGACACATTTAACGATATCCATGGCTCACGACAGCACTTGATGATATTTCCTGCTGGGTTTTATGCAAGCACCCCGAGCTAGGATCATTTTCGACGCGTCTTCGAATCACTTAAGTTAACTTTATTTAGCAAATAAGACTGTTGACCTAGGCCGCCCCACTTATCTCCGAAAAAAAGTAAATTGATTCGAAATTTTAGCAATAGCTCTGGAAGGTGTACTGTCGTCGGTATATGTGTGTATGTAGCCAATATTTGATTGCTTCCAAATCGTCCAAAAATACCACATCACTGTTGAATTCTTTTCGTGTTCAGATGACCCTTTGAAAGATAGCGTTCTGTTAGACGTCCGTCAGTCAACTTCCTCAATAGTTGAAATGGATGGAGACGAAGACGATCAGACCTCGCGGATTCGAAGGACCCACCGGGCAATAGTGCATGCCTCTTACCCGCCAACTGTCTGCAATCTAAAGGAGAGAAATGAAGGCTAGCTAGTTTAACCTCGTAGGGCAGATTGTCAGGATTTTAGGTTATCTTAGGCCCCCTCGAGCGTAGTCGCCTCAGAAATTAATAATCTCCTTTTGGCCACGGTCGCAAGCCTCGATGGCACATCGCAAGAGAGATCGAAGGAATGTCTTCTAGACTTTACCGAACAGTTTCTTAGAAATTTGTGCAATTGCACATATCGACGTGAATAGCGCTTGTGATGGGGGCAAGCTACTTTTAAGCACTGTTATGTCGTCGTTGGCGAGAAGTTCGATAGACACCGGAGTCTTTCCGCCTTGTATCATTATAAAGGAGTAGCGCTAAAAGGACGTATCGGAACAAATCGTCCCCCACAATGGTCCTTCTACAATTGTGCCTCGAGACACATTTGCCTACATTGGAGTTTAAAAGCCAACGCGCAGGCCAGCTGCTAACTCAGCAAACCCCTCCTTAAAGGGTTTATTAGGTTTTGTCTGTAGTGATGACTCCAGAAAGTTCGTCATCGTTAGAAAACATGATTGAGCTGCAGTTGTGTGTTTAGTAAAGTCTTGGATGAAGTGCCACGTCGAAGACTTTTAGTCAAATTAAAAGCTCTGTGACCTCTCAGCCCACCTAGTGAGTTTATCAATTTATACCTGTCTGATAGTAAACAAAAGGTTTAAGTGGGATCTTCACTTTTCGATGAGTGCCGTGATGTAAGCGGTGCCCTACAAGGTGTCGTTTTAAATCCGCTATTGTTTTTGCTTTTCGTCAATGATATCTTTTCGACAGGTAAAAATTCTTTATCCTTTATGTTTGCTAATAAACTCAGATGTGTATATTCATTCTCGAAATCTACGACCCAACACTACTTGGACTAAATCCCTGTCAATTTGCTTGCGCTGGCAACGTGGAGCTCAAATGGCGATTGGAATTCTATCCATCAAAATGGCTCTATATGTGTGTTGTGGACCTGATAGGCTACCCCAGCTTGGGGTTTTTAGGGCACACCTATGACTGAATTTGTCATCATTAAGGATTTGCTTTTAAGCCCCAGATAATACTCTGGCAAGAGAACGGTACCAACTAGTTTCAAACCAGTGAGGCTCACAAGAATCTGATGGAAAAGGTAATAAGAGCGAAGCTGATGCGCCCTCTCGGAGAAAATATGTTTCTCAGTTTCCATCAGCATGTCTTACTTACCTGCTAGTATCCATGGACTGCTTGACGAAACCAATCGAAAGGGGTTTATCAGTAGATTACATGTACATTGACTTCACAAAAGGATTCTGTTAGTGTTCCATGCAGGCGACTTGAACTACAGCAAGTGGGCGTGAATGGGGATCTGCTAAAATGGTTAACCGATTTCCTTACGGTCTGATCTTAGCGTGTGCGTTTCGGTAACACTAAATCAGAATGGGCATGCGTTACAGTAACGTTCCGCAGGGAAGCGTTCTGGTTCCGATTATGTTCTTAATATTTGTGAACGATCGTCTGGACTGTCTGAAATGCGAGTGCCTAATGTCTGCCAATGATCTCAAACAGAGAAATCGTGCGATTCGCTGCAGTTACGAAAAACTCTGGATCGCTTGCAACAATTATGTGATAAGAAGTGCCTTTACCTCAAGCTTAACAAATGCTGACTTATCCGATCACGTTCAAATAAGAAGAGAACAATAAGGTTTGAATCCCACTACTCATTATGGCGTCATCAACTCGAATCAGTCAACGAGTAATTAGAACTTGGTGTGTGGATTGTGTCAATTTTCAAGCCACCATTTAATTGTGCCAAGGTAACAAATAAAGCCATAGGTATCCTTGGCGCGATTATGTGATTATTCCTCAATTTCTTTCGGAGAAGGTTTCGGCCGAGTATTTGGAGTAATTGTTTAACTAATGTTGGAATATTGCGTTCAGGCATAGTGCCCCTGAACGAAAGAAGATTTCACCCTAAAGGCGAACGCACAAAGGAGAGAAACCAGACTGGTCAGCGCATCCAGTTGCTTGCCTGAAAAGAGACGCCTGTAAAAGTCAAAAATATCCCCTCCATTGTATAGACAGTACAGAGCGGATATGATCCTGACCTCTAAAATCGTCCGAGGGCTAGATTGTGCTATTCAATTTGACGATTTCTTCGAACTGGCGCAAACGATCAATCTTCGAGATCACCAATGCGAACAGAACATAGAGCATGCCACAATTAAACTGCAGGCCAAATTCGCCACCCACAAACTGGTCAAAGGACGGAACTGGTTGCCGAAATCCGGTGTCTTGTCGAAAAAAGGTTGAGGCATTCAAATAGGCTTCATACATTTGTGCTTAATGGTCAAATACTTACTCGACATCAATGACTACCATAACTGCTATGTAAACGCACATATGCTTTTTATCCGTCTATCTGCAAATAGGGTGTTCCAAGACGCTGCCTATATCCCTTATATATAGTGAATTATCGAGAATAATTATAACGAATTAAGCTGCACCAATTACCTAGGTCTATCGCCACAAGCCGGCAGAATTGCGGCCAAAGCTGATTACACTTGTGGCTTTATTTCCGACGATTTCTATCCTCCTGAAATGAAATTAAGACTCTGTCGAATGTTTGTATTACCCATTCTCGAGTGCTGTTGTCCATTCTTTTGTTTGATGAACGAGGTTAGTAGTTCGAAAATTTAAAATGTTCAATAACGTTTTAAAAAAGACTTCTAAGTACGGGGCACTCAGATATTTACTAATCAGGAATATGCCAGTTAACTAAGCTAAGAATTGTATGGGATTGGCGATTGGAGGCAGGCCTCCGCATGTTCGTTCACATCATTGCATTGTTACTAAAGTACGATAAATTCAAGTCAATTGATGCATTCAGCAGTAGCCAACAGATAGTTTCGAAACTGGCAGAGTTGACTAACAGCAACCCACGAGTAGAGGGATCACCGTTTCAGGAGATCGCTGGCTGCAGAAATAAACAGAGTGCTAAGAGAAAAGGTAAACGGAAACATGAACATACAGCCTCACCCTCACCAAGAGCGATGATAAACGACACTCCAAAATCGCAAACTAAGTTGCGAAGTGATAATGGTAGTACACTCTCATCATTGAGAACTGCCCAGCTGAAGAACAATGACCAGCTCACTGGCAGAGTAGAAGCTGTCCGATCTCCACCACAGAAGAAGGTAAAAGGATTCGACATAGAAAAGACTACTGCATGGACGGAAACCTCAGAGGAAATCGCGGAGAATATGACAAGGCATGATATTAATCCGCCGCAGAAGAGCAGAAAGCAGACGCTCACTGCCCCCCCCCGGCAAAGTGACCGAGCAGAACCAAGGAATTAACATTAAGACTCAGACCGTTCACATGCAACTGAGGTCACATCAAAAGAAGCAGTTAAATCAAAGGGGACTGATGACTGAAAAGAAAGAGACGGAACTCGGACGACTTCGGAGTACCCGAAGAAAGGAACTTCCTGGGGTGGAAAAGCAGAGCTCGTCTGAGCAATCGACAGAAACCTCCAGCGCCAGCGTAGACACAGACGCGGCAAATGCGAATATCCTCTGTATTGACATAAAAGACATGAGCAGTAATGCCCCAAACACGAAACCATTAGCTGCAGAAAAGATCCCTGAAGTGGATGGCAACCAGAATTTCATCATGAATGGTTCGCCAGGAACTCCCAAGTCACCAACATCACGCAACCAAGACCGGCCGCTCAGAGAACAGTGCCTAGTAATACAGGGACTTCAGGAGCCTCAAGCAGATACACCTAAAGAACGCGTATTAGCTGATCTCGGCTTGTTCCAAGGTCTTCTAAACACACTGCTTCAACCCGACGAAGAAATTTCCGTGTTGAAAGCCTTCAGACTCGGAAAGCGCTCTACTGAACCCGCTATTCCACCGCATCCTAGGCCCCTTAAAATTGTTCTGAGTTGCAAAGAGCATGTTGATCTCATCCTCTCAAGACGTTTTAGGTTGAAATATTCCCACCAAGGAGTTTTTTTTCAGCCGGACTACACACCACCGGAGCGGATAAAACGCCGACAGTTAGTTCAGGAGCTAAGGCTGCGACAAACGAATGGCGAACAAGGCCTGGTTATCTACAACAACTGCATAATCGAGCGACCGTCCCGCTTCGTATGGACACGGCCCGTGCGTATGTCGCCACAGCCGAGACAATTGGCAAAGGCGGCGTCATAGCCGGCTTACCAAAGGAAAAAAAGCTAAAATGCTTGTATTCCAATGCGGAAAGTCTGCTATCTAAATTAGATGAGCTTAAAATCTACGTTGACCAAACCTTACCCGATATTATTTCCATAACTGAAACGTGGCTGTCCGCGAGCGTAGACGATCGCGAAGTCGCTTTATCTGGTTATCACTTGTTCAGAAAGGACAGGTTGGGACGTCAAGGTGGAGGTGTGCTCGTGTATGTCAAATATGGCCTTTTTGCGTCAGAAAAAGAGGGACAGCTCGCGCGCACAACTGAAACGATTTGGCTCACCGTCAAAACGCCGGGGTCACAACCTCTCGAGATCCTGACGGTCTACCGCCCACCGAGGAACGACCCGCAATCAGACAGTAGTCTACTAGAGGAATTAGAAGCGATTTCCCTCCGACCCAATGTCATGATTATGGGCGACTTTAACGCTCCGAATATCGACTGGAATCTGACTTCTGCCCCGGGCTCAGAATTTAACTTTGATCGCCGCCTCCTAAATTCTGTGCAAAGATCGCATCTCACACAACACGTCTTATCCCCAACCAGACTACCTGAAGGACAACTAGCTAACTGCCTAGACCTTGTATTGACAAAGGCACCGGAAAGCGTTGATGTTGTAAACTGTCTACCCCCTCTCGGAAAAAGCGACCATGTAGTCCTACAGTGGGAGTATTCTCTCTTCTCTGTACCCGATCAAAGCATCGTGATTAGACGCAACATATGGCGTGGTGACTTCAACCAAATGCGTCTCGACATGCGTCGTAGAGACTGGAAAGCAGCATTTACGGGGTGTGTCCTCAAGGACTGGCTAGAACTTAAGG